TTTATAGTAACGTATCTATAACTTCACTTACCTCTATGTTTTGTGTAAATACTAAATAGGAACTATACGTAAGAATACTGTTCAAAAACTCACTCAAGTTATTATTTGTACACCTATATATATATTAATATTATCATCAAGTGTGTATTAAATAGTTCTATGTTGTAGCCGTTATAGTGTTATACTTGCGACCGATCCGTAACACGCACGAGTAGTTCACGGTAAAAAAAATTTGAGAATTTCTGGTCTACATTATTCTTATTATTATTATACTCTCGCGGCGGTATACCTAATAATGATGAGTCGCCTCTAAAGCTCGAAACCAGTGTTGATCGAGGAGCGAGCGATTTTCAAGTGCTATTGATTTTTTATCGCGTCATCGAAAATTATACATCCTATAATATGTCCGAATAAAAAACGCATCGCATTATTATTATTATTATTCGTATAATGAGTTAAAGATATCGTTACCTATTAGAATATTATTTTATTGACACGATGACACCGACGACGTGCATGTGCGCCAGTTGGCGGGGGGGAGGACTGTTAGCGCCGGCCGAAGTGGGGAGCGCGGCGCATCGCGTGCCACCTTCCAAAGTCCGGACAGCAGTATACAGCTGCAGTCGTCGGCGCGCTGTCCGTTTGCGTAAAAGTCCGTTCTGGTGCAGTGGTCGCATCGTGGTGTCTGGTTAGACAGAATATATCGGCCGACCGACGCGCGCGATATCCGTCAGGAAAATAACGCCGGCCTGTAAAGGGTTCATAATATTTAAATATTTTCCCGAGTGACGACCGCGTTCGCGTGTCTGATACCCCGGACGTGTTCTGTCCCGTGCAGTCAAAACACGTATCTCGCCGCGGCGAAAACCGTCATGAAAGTACAACACGCCGAGGAAGCGTTCGGCTCGTCGGCCGGACGCTACGGCGGCGGTGCGACCGACACGTCTGCGGCTATCCGGGTGCCGTGCCGGAGACGCGAAGACGGCGGTGACGGCGGTACGTGTTGCGATCGGTCCGCGGCGGCAAAAACCGCGGCCACCGCAACGATCAACCGCAGTGACACGGCCACGACTGCCGCACGGTCGGCCGTATCGACGATGACTGTAAGAACTGTACGGCCGAACAGCGACGCGTCCGAAAACCTCGCCGCCGGTCAGGATCGTGGCCGTAAGTGCAATTTTATTCACTCTTTTATGTGCCATATATAGCGCATTGCGCACCAACGGATCTAGGAGTTTATAGAGACAATATTAGATTTAATCGGTGGGAGGGGGATTTTGTGTCTTGGTTCGAGATTTAAAATTATTCCCCTTGACTGGGGTTCACATTCGTGTGTAATACCTAATTAATTAGGAAATTTTAAAGACGTACGGAAAGGTTAATTTGCAGTGATAGTAACGACATATTATTTTAATAAATAAAAAATTTCAATTTGTGAATTTTTTTTAATCTGTTACACAATTAATATCTGATATGCTTTGATGTTGTTCGATAACTGTGACAATACACAGTTTCACAGTTATGGACTTTTAGTAAAGAACGTGGTTCCAGTTATTTTGAACACAATATATCTATACATACCTATACGTAATTATTTTGAAATTTAAACTAAGCAACATAGGAAAGCCATACAGATAAAGCATAATAATATGTATACGATCATTTATTTAAATAAAAAGGCCAAAGCCCCCCACTTGATCGTGTGATGTAGGTAGCTGTACTAAAAAATAAGTGCAATACGGAAAATCCCTTGGCCGAAACTATAGACCTTTGGAGCTGTCGTGGTGTATATGTATTGGCTTTTTCTGATGCCTTTGAAGACGACCGTCGTCTGCACGTATATTGGTCTAGTTGCTCATAAGGGCTTAAAGTCGTGAGTCAACACCGATCTCTGTATATTATATTTTCGTATTTATCATCGTTTGTTTGTGATTTTTATTTGCTTAGGTAAATTTTTCATTTAGTTTTATGCGGAAAGATTGTTATATAATATATATAACCATAAATAATATATAATATAGTCACCGTCCGTATAGTGTACGGATAACTCGAGATAATTGTAGACTATATACATAGTCTGTATATGAAATAAATAAATTAATGTAATAATGATATAATAATGCTAATCAAGTCGATAATCTAAATGTAATTTTTGCGATTTTTTTTTTCTTGTACGATCCGCCGTAGTTCTATAATATATTGCATGCGTTTAAATGGCAAATCATTATTGCGATTTCAAACAACGATTTTTATCTGATTCGTCCCATATAGACATTATTTTCAGATTGACGGGTCATGATGTGTGAATGTTTCGTAAGAATAATTATTATTCATTTCGAATCCATTAAACTGCGGTTAACCAACTAAATCATTCCATTATATTCAAATATTTGTATGTTAAGAGTTGTTCAAAATGTTTAAACGATACTATTGTAATGGTAGGTACCCGTACCTGTACTATACACCTGCTGTTTGCCTGTTTACCAATCGAATAAATATATAATATTAATCATTTTTAAATGTTTACACTGAACGGGCATCATAACATTAGATTTTAATTCTCAAGTATTAAAAAGGTTATTACGTGCTGTACCGTGGCCGGCGCTCATGCGAATAGTTATTGTGTTTGGCTCGTTTATCGTTCTCAAGTGATGCACAATTGGACGACTAAAAATTTGTTAAGTATTTATTGTTATGTTAAATATGCGTCCAACGGATTGTACTCGATTTGTGCGCCTGCGCGGTATAGGCTATAGCGAAATGTACATATTATAATATATTATGAACATTGTACCTACCTAAATCATTTGAAATATTGTATAGGCACTCATCTCAACAAATAAACGAGTATTATATTTATATTGCATTGGAACTGAATAAATAACACTTTCTACCGTACCTATATACACAACGACCGAGGACGCGTTGTTTTAATTTAATATATAGAATCGAGTTTTTATGTGAAATCCACCATTCGTCGTCGTCGTTTGCGACCTGTATTAATATTACATACCTATATAAAGTTAGCATTTTTATTAATTAGCGTTAAAACGCGTATAAACACATACAAGTATATACCTATAAGCACACTATAAGATTTAACGTTAGCATGGGTAATACGTATACGTGCGCAGGCCTTAAAAATATTCTATAAGGTCAGGCGCGTGATTGTAGGTATATATTATATACGTCTCTAAACGCATTTGTATTGGTAGGTACGTTCCGAAATCGACATTTAGGATTTAGATTTTTTTTTTAAGGTACATCGGTTAATCGTGGTAGAACTGCAGATATAACCACATAAATACATATATGCCGTGTATTTTGGAAAATCTATAAATTTAAAAAGAGTCTTTGCTCGAGGCCTTGAATGCATTCAATGTGTGCGTATAGAGTGCATAGTAGACGCATATATTAGAGTGCCGAGAAAAAGGGATTAACAGTTGACACAAATAAAATATATAATGTCTAATACAATATTTAATTTTTTTAGGCAATATATGACTTGGCCCAGCCCTCTACAAAAATAATTGTCCACTATATAAATGATACCGTATATTGTAGTTCACCGGTATCAAATAGTTGATTTCGGTACTATAGAGCTGCTGCTGCAGTGGCGCAAAACAATGTTCCTTTGTAAAATAATTTGTTTGTGAGTGAAATGGGTCGTCACACGACAGCTGGTTTGACTTAAAAAATATATATATCTCTATAATATGCACTCGCGCGTATAGTTAATACGTCTCACGCCAGATCGATGATTATACTTAACGATTGGTGTTCGTAAGCACAAAAAATTTACTTAAATATATGTAGGTACCTACATTATTGTGGTTGTTTCTCCTGGCAGCAACCGCCTTTCGTCTTTTCCAACACCGCTATTTTTCCGGTCGGATAAAATATGTCATCCGGTAAAAAAACATCGTTCTATTTCCGGGAAATTGTTTTTAATTAAAAAAAAAATCCGATTCGTTTGTATAAACACGTTGTCATTTCCCGTTCGAGACGAGACAGACTTAAGTACTTCTACCGAAACCTCTAGAACCTGCGGCTTGACTAAGACTATTAAACTCTATTAGTTCAATTATATTTATATATAGTCTGCGTATATCCTACGAAAAAGCGTGATTTATTCAAATTCTATGTAGGTATATTGTATTTCCACGCCATTATTCAGAGTTTACATGGCGAATTTTTTAACCATAGAGTTCGGGTTTTGACAATCCTAAAATTATGCCAATTTTATTATTTTACCGTAAAGCAATAAGCATTGACTATAATATAAAGTGTCAGTACGCATTATATTATATTTAACATTTTAACGATCAATTGGTTGTGTGTCATCTTTTTAACAGAATAATGTATTATACAAATAAAAATATTTGAAAACTCTTCCAATAGTATTCCAATCCTATTCAGATTTAGTTATTCACATAATTTGTTATAATATAGATAATAAATCAATGACATTATATTAATTAAATTTATTTATATATGCTTATTTAATTAGCAATAAAATTACTAAAATTAATCGAAGTATTTATATAATACTCATTGTTATTATTCTTAATTCTTAATGTGTTATTCACAACATTTAGATTACGAAATAAATAGGATTTGTTTCTATAATATGATGCTTACTCAAATATATAATAAAAATTATTATAATAATTAATTATACATAAAATTAACTGTAGGTAGGTATATTATATAGTGGCATAACGTAATAATGCAATTATTTTGCATGCTTGAATAACAACTTATTATTTCTGTTTTCAAATTAAATCGCATGCTATAATAATGTTTATATTTTTAACAAAGCAATTTAAATAGCAGTTTAGATAGAGAAATCGTCAGTAGGTAGATTCGTAGATTATAACGCTAAAGTATAATGTATATACCTACCTAATATTATTTATTTTGATTGTTTTTAAAGAAATTGTTGTCAGAAGTATGTCAAGTACCTACCTATTTTTGTAAAGTGTTTCGACCTGTTGCAGTTGCATTGTTATTGCTTTGCTTTAACAACATTATAATATTATGCCCATACCTCACACATTTCCTGGTATCATCGAATTAACAAAACGGTGAGTAAAAGGCCGTTAAACCCAAATAATAATCAATATATTTTATAGGACTAAAATTATTAATTGTTAATCCTGTGCAGTGCAGGTACGTAATGGTGTGGTGTAAATGTCTGATACGCTAATATTATAATATTGTCGAAACAGCAAATAACGATATTGCTGTGGCTAATGGTTGTATATATTTATATTTACAATTTAAAAATATAATTTTTTTATACAGCAAATATGGATATGTCGTATATTTTTAGGGAATTGCTATAAACGCAGGTTCTATATTTTAATATCTTGTAAATTTATTTTGCATTAAATCAGGTAAATTAATAATTGGGATTTTTAATAACTTATATGAACTCGAAGCTCAGCTATAAACTAACTTACCTATACACTTAAATACTAATTTGTGTGACGTGGTCAGTTTATGCAATATAAATACTTGCAAGCCATACTACATTAATTGTAAAATTATTTTACTTGTGTAGTTTATAACTTCTGTTAATTTGACATTAAACTCGTAGGACTTCAAAAGATATTCGATGAAATGTACACAGGTTAAGGTACTGTATACCTACTATTACAACATGAAACCCATAAATTGGCATAGAGCGTCATTTTAACGTTTTCATTGATTTTAAAAGAACTAAATCAATACTTCGGAATAGCAATTTATTTATATTATATTTATCACAATGAACTAAATGATTGGGTAATATAATAAATTGAATAGTAAATGGCTTTATTATAACATTATTTATTATTATATAATTTGTTTCAGACATTTTATCATATTATGGGTACGCGTAGTGTCCTTTATTAATGCGTTTGATACACATTATATTTTTTTAATTTAAATTTACTGTACTTATTTGAAACATAAATATAACCTATACGGCTATGTTGCGTGCCTTAAACGTACAACTTACTTATGTAATTATGTGTGTTATGATGTTTTACTGTATAGGTGTTTTTCAATTTTCACCGTGGCCGTCTTCGTTATTTTTTTTTAAAGTAATCATTGTAAAAATCTGTAGACATTAGACAATTTTTTATTAATGTTGTATTATAAAAACACATTTTTAAATGAATGACTCGTTTATTTAAAAGATTAATGAGTTTAATTTCAT